TAGGTGCCCGCCCATTTATTAATCCCTGCCCTTTAGGTACATTCTAGCGGCTACGTGGTGGCGTGGTTTTCTCGCTAGTTTGTTCCAATCCGAAGAGTGACGGTGGAAGTTATCGCAGTTCTTCTAGCATCTACAAGATTAGATGGCTTAAAGGCACGGTCCGCTAACAGGTATAGAAGTTGAAAATATGGCGTCGGGAGGGTAGTGTGGTTCCGCGACGAGCAACTTTGTACCTGTTTTGTGCAGAAATTGTAAAGAACGGGTTCTATAGCGCATTACAGGTTCAGTGACGCTTCCTTTTTCCAGCGGCTCCGCCTCCAGACTCCGTCTTCAAGGCCCACTTTTCAGTGAAAAATGAAGCTGCAGGATCAAAGAGCATGAAAATTGTTCTTGTTATACTGGAATCGGGGAATCATGTGCAGATGAGGGCGTATTGTTGGAAAAAGAGTTGATCGGGCACGTATAGACTGGGATCGGAGCGGGGTCCTTCCTAAGGCAGTTGGCATGGTCTTTTCTGGTTTTTTTCTTCACTATCGAGTTACTCAGCATCTTGTCGTTTATAGAAACCAATAATCCACTATGTGTGATGGCGAATGATCGCGGGCTCTGCCATTAACCTAGGTCTACGCGTCGGAGCCGTATGGTTAGAAGAAAATACTCTTGCTCTCTAAAACGCCCCAGCAATTGTCACGGCAATTAAAGATTGAAGTTGCACTAGAACCACTAGGCGTAGCACGACAGACGATAGGCTGTGTTAGTTCTCAGCCTGGTCAGCGCAACAGTGTGGGGTGCAGGCAGCGTAACCCGACGATAGAATCACGGACGGCGAAAGTAGCTGAAGGCATTTCGATTACAACAAAGGAAACCGCTCACATAAATAGAATGTGAGAATCCATAACCTGTGAGCTGGCGCCCTTTCCATGCTTTAATTTAAATTGAGGTCAAAGTGCAAGTAGCCAGGGTTATTCCATGATAATGTTACCATTGTGTAGATCCCTTTATGGCAGCAATACCCCCGAGAGACATCGCTAGGTGCCTTACTAATCTAGCAAAAGCATGTTTGAAGATTGCCGAGGCGTCAAGCAATTACGGTCAGTTTTTCTGTCCACTACAAGCTCGACAAAATGCCCAACATAGCGAGACAAGCAGGCTCTGTAGGCGCAGGCCATCCAATCTTCTAGAGGCCAGAAAGTCTGAAAATGATGTTCATCAAGTCAAGCTAGCAAAAAATGGAGCATGGACGGTGAGATTGACGTGATCAGGGAAATGAGCTAATATCGACATAAGACCGCGAACGGGAGACTCGTCGAAACATGCCCTCTTTCCCGCGTATGCTCACGCAGGCTCGAATCAGAAGGGGTCGTACCTAGAGCATTTCTGGCTGTTCCTTATGCTGTTCCTTTCACTGCTGCATTAATTATCAGCTTGACTTTCGTGTAGGAACCTCACTACTTCGTGATCACAGACTGCTTCATAAGAGGAAAAGTGCGCCACAATTTTGAGGGTAAAAAACATGGAAGTATGCGTTGTCGAGGCAGGACAGTTTCACTGGTGGGGCTTTTCTACTTACACATGAGACACCTTCAGTTGCATTACCGCCCGACCTGCATAACACCGCCTACCTTTTTGATTTCCATCAGCATTGTACTATACTCCGAATCTGAGTTCTGGACGTGCAGCTCTCTTCGTGCACCTATAGAAGACGCTGCCTATACCCGAAATATGTCTACAACTCACACATCACGCGTGCAGTTGTTTCGAATTATTGTATATCTGCTGCTGAGGCGAGTCATTTTGAACGAGTCTTATCGTGCCGACTTCACAAACACTTCATAGAAAATGAACCTCACCGCAACGAGAGGAATCGTTGAGTCGTGGCTATCGCTATCAACACCTCCTTCGATAGATCCACCCCAGTTGCATTCACACTCCGTGACAAGATACACGTTATTGCCTTTATAGTCCCGTCCTCTAGAACAAGTAGCACATTGGGCTTTCTTCACTGGGGAAGAAAGGGTGTATCAGTTGCATTATATTCAATCGTTCGAGGACTTCAGACTGAGGGCAGTTAAAATTAAAGGCAGTTGGCACGACAAGTACCTAAGACAAACAGGATTAATACGCCTGAAAGGACGGAATTTCGCGCCGCTGAGCAGGCGCTGCGTAGCGCCTTTTCCAAGGAAGCTGCCTTTATAAGGCGCTATCAAGCTGCAACATACCGACCCGGACGCCCACCGCGCCCTCCGCCGCACAAGTGGACGACCTTCCAGGGCACATCGTTGGTTGGGGAATCCCCAACAGGGGGGTCGTATTTGGCCGCCAGGAGAGGGGGGGGGTCGTAGTGAGTGCGGCAGCCAGTAACGAGCAGCGCAAATTGTCAATGTGCTGAGTCCTGTACAACGAAACTTGCTTTGTAGAGAACTCGGATATGCAAAAAAATAGTACAAAACTTTCATTCATCAAACTAATCCGAAATAACTGCAAATATTAATAAGTCGACATTATCTCGTAAGTCCGTTGGACTAAACAGTACAACTCAAACTCTGGTTCGCTGCCAATGATATGGCGTGTCCGCGGTCGCGCTTGGCGCTGAGCCAACCTGTTTTTTTCGACGTTCATATCAGACGTTTTCCAGCAGTTGGTCTCCTTTTTTCCAGCAGTTGGTCAGCGATTGGCGGAGCACGAATCTGGCAGCGTTGACAGGGACATGTTCCATCATACGCAACGGAAAACACTGTAAACAAGTGCACAGGCTCGCCATGGACCTCCCTGAACCTTTGCTCGCGTGAACAGACATTACGCACAAGTTGCACCATCCCATCACCTCTGCGCGGCCCTCAGTGCGCGGCGCATCCAAAGTTGGCGTGATCGGCGCTAAACGAACCATATCCTGCTCCTGCTCCACCACAGGATACGTTCTACATGCGTTCCTGGCTATTCGAACACGCTCACTTGAAACGGTACACAGGAAACGGGTTTTTCGCGCAGCTGGGAGTGTTCCTCAAGAAATCCCCATAGCGAGATCTCATGAATCCCGAGAGCTTCAGAAACAGTTCAAGAGGTTTTCAGAAAGAGAAAATCTTCAAACACTCGGATCCGTTCTCAGATTTGTGAAATGTTGAGTTACAAAAAAAATATATATTGTTCAAACCATGTTCGGTTGAACACCGCACGTGATCCCTAGCGGTAAAGTAGATTTTGGTGGACTCCCGACTCCGTGGGCAGTTTTTGGTTTGCGACGTTCATAAACGTTTTAGTACTTTTAGGAAGTGCAAACCTTCCTCTACACGAGTACGGTCTCCTCTTCCCCACAGGTCCGCTTTTGAGGAAGTTATGGTCCTCAAACAACACCTAACTCAGCTGGAAATTCTCGCTCCATGGCTAAAATTGCCGAATAATCTCCTGTCACAGCCGCAATTACATGCGCTTCTGCTACCGTACTCCAATAATCGGGGTAATGCATTTTTACGGCGGTTTGTATAACTGTTACGTAGTGAGACAAGCCTAACTTTCTCTTTTCCTCGTCCTCAATCTTGGGAATAGACGTTGTTAACACTGTGGTCGCTGATGGCCGCTCCCAGAGAGGGAGTCCACCTCAGGTTAACGAATGCTCATTGAATTTAATCGCGATATATCGTTATTATTACATGCCGTGTTTCAAATGGCCATTGAAGAAGTTGCATTCATACGAGCTTTTCATAATACGATTGTACGTTTTTTGTTTTGGCAAATCATCTGCTTATTGTTCTATGTCATGACTTCAAGTCGTCCATTTAGTATGGGCACCTTCATACAAGTAGAATTTCATAGTGGGCGTTTCATAGTTTCATTTAAGGCGAAAAAAACCGAACGGCAAAAAAGGGGGGGGTCGTACCGAACCCCCAAAAAAGGGGGGGGGTCGTACAGGCTCGACCAAAATCCCCATCGAATGCTGTGCCCTGGCTAAGGCGTTACCTGATGCTCAGTTATTTCTTCATTTACTATGTGAAAACATCAAAACCAAGAAATGATAATAAAGCCGGCGGTGGCGGCTGCATGGAACATGAGTGCATACTTGGCAACCTTGCGTATCTAACCGCGCCGGTTATTGGCTAACATGCCCTCCGAAAACTCATGGCCGAAATGGCTCTTAGATTTATGGAGGAGCAGAAAGGCTTTTCTCCGCAGGATGACGCAACTGTCACTTCGATTTCTGCGCCTTCCCCGCTAGATAGAAATTCTGCTAGCAATTTTTGTCCGAGGTACCAAATTATTGAGTATATGCTTTTAATGCAATAACAACGTCGGTTCGAGTTTTACTTCGCGGAATTGCGAATTGGCTGTTGCAAGCAGGGTATCGTGCGCAGCATCCGCTCCACGACCCAACTCGTTCATTATGGCAAGACAGCAGCGCGTCGGCCCTATCTTCCAAGTCAACTTGTGGCTGAGAGTAAGCGGCAGTAGCAGGCCTTTCGTTACTATGTTTGGAATACAGCTTCTGCGCTCTCGCTGGTATAGTCCGGCGTTAGAGCAGGAGGCAGTTTTGGCATGGAGGAGAAGTGCGCAGGCCGCATGCCGCTGACAATTAACGGAGATTGTGGCGGTATATTCCACGTGAGGCGGCAAGGTTTTTTATGGGCATCCTATGTAGTGAATCAAAAGGGAAGAGTAGATGTTTGTCAGAATCTGTTGGAAGAACACACTCAAAGCTGACAACGAAAGTTAGGGCTACTAAAATCAGTCGAGGGTCTTCCACTGCTTAAACGTTATCCCAATCGTGATTCAGATCGACGTAGCCATCGTTATCATTATTTTATTTGCATTGAAACGGGCAGGTCAAAATGAAGAAGAGACAGAACAACGAATAATAAAATCACGTTGTTGACCATCAATCCGCAATAAATATTCTTTGTACAAATATTGCTGAATCGATTGGAAAGGCGTACGTATGACATATCGCATAGGTATTCTTGTAATAAACTAAGGATTAAGCCAACAACAGCTGTGAGAGAACTGTGATTTTAGTCGACTTCGCACTGAGGAAAGCACGACCACACTTCGAGCTGTTTCAGAAAATCTTCAGCTACTTTTGGGTAGTTTCTTCTGTGAGTCGTCTCGAAAGCTTGGAAATCGTCCCTGAATAATAATTCTTGGCAGTGAGTGAGAGAAAAGTTATTAAATTTCGCAAAATTTCTTTTTAACCTAGAGAGAACACAGTTCAGTGTATAGGAAAAATCACCTTATGACTGTGCAGTTGATCTGCTTATTGGGTAGCCATTTCCAAGCCGTTCCTTTTAATGCGCAACTGGCCGAATCTTCATCGCCGTGAGGGCTCATCCACAAATCACCTTCTATGCTTTTTTCAGGCCAATCGTGCAGCAGAAAATCGCTTTCACACCAGCTGACATCAAGAAGTAACATAAGTAATTTTATATCGATCAATACTCGATTGAAACTTTCAAGTGTTTTGGGGTCTGATATCCGACGTACAAGGACGACGCGTTCCGTCAGCGGAAAGAGAGCGAGGTGAAAAAAATGAGAAACTAGAGAGCTAACGAGATGCCTGCCCCTTTCTAAGGCGAATCACTGCTAATTTGAATATCCCTGGGTATGCAAAAATCTATTGTGACGTATTTGCTAGAAAATGTTTGCAGTCTTTACATGGAACTTTACAGAAGACCAAATGGTTACTCACAAGTTGCTTGTCAAAAATGAGTCTCGAGTCCAACCGTGTGCTTTTCTATAGATGCGCACTTTTCCTGGCCACAGCCGTTGATATCCGAGTACCAGACGTCCACAGGCCGAGGCGGTGTCATGGCCAAAATGGTTAACCCATTGAGCTAAGCAACGATCGTATTCTGTGTCACCATCATCCACTAGGGTTTGTGCCAAGTAGGCCTAGAAAATGTACATGATGAATTCGCCTGTGGGTTTGATATGAATTTTATTAAAAACTTTTCAAATCTATGGCTCTAATGAAATATTTCAAAGATTTGAAAGACTTGGAAGGCATTGTTCAGTTAGAAGGCGACATTGTCATCTGTAGGACTTTTTATAGCGCTGACACAAATAATGCAGGTCTCAATCGGTTAGTACTTAAAAACTGTCGTGAAGCTGCGAGACAGTGGGACCTAGAGGCCTCTATAAAGTTGGCCTATTTACATTTTGAACGCATTACGCAATTGGCTGGCCCCCATAGATTTTGACGATGCGCCGACTTGTATTTAAAGTATTTTCAATGTGAGGTAATTTTCTTCTTCTTATCGAATGAAAACCTACAGATAGAATTCCTTTGTCATATCTGCTCAAACCTCTTGAGAAACTCTTTGTCAGCCAGATTCCGCAGAAAGTTTGTAGACGCACGTCGCTTCGTGCGAACCTGCGCCAGCATGTTGTCAAACGCATCTCCCAAAGGGGTTGCAGGAATGTCATAACATGCAGTACATATAACAGAAATTATGGTCTCCACGAGATCAATAAGTAAATTTAGCCAGGTCATTTTCATCTGGAAATCAATCCGAACGTGTTTAAAATTGCTCCAGGAATATCGCTGCAATGGACTGTGTGGACTCTAATAGTTCAATCGAGAACGGACATTTAGCTCCCATAGTGAAGAACACCCACAGTTTTTCTCGCTGCGGATTATGGGATGTGCAGTAAGGCGGGTTTGGCGCGCCCAACCCGCTCTCCACCAGTTGTTGAAGCGGGACTACATCGGGGCTAAGACGAACGATACCCGCAGTCCTTTCGCTTGCCGAAAAGGGAAACAAAGAAAAGAGACGAATTGGCGCTGCGCCAAATGTGTACCTCTGACACGCCTCATCATCCGCAGCGGATAAGACTGTAAGGGGATAAAAAATGATTCACGTTACGCCTCTTCCAGTTGACAGAAGTGTTTTTTTGCAGTACCTGAATTGTCATCAACTACGAGCATCCAGTCGGTATCCTGGAAGAAAATCGGCCGCAGCGCAGTACTTCTTATATTTTGTCTGGAAAAGGGTTCTGCTAAAAGCGAGATCAATGTCGAAATATGGAGGTGTTCTAGATCCTCCACAGAACCTCAGAGAGATATTCACTGAGTTTGTGTGCGTTTGATTAGATTGTTGGTTTGATGAGTTTGGAATGAACCCTCCTAGGCGGCACATGGCCTGTCACAGGCAAAGCATGAGATGTCGGTGATGACGCGGCAGTTCATATATCCCTTTTCTTGGAACTGTGGACGGTTGTGCGCACGACACGATGCTCAGTATTGGTGTATCCATGATGACGCAAGATGAAGGCTGGACCGCTCACATTTCATGTCCAGGTAGGGCCCAATCTTTTTTTTCATAATATTGTGACGGATATTTGTGAGAGAGAGCACATTACCGGTGGAGCCGGGTGATCCTCCTTCCGCGTGTGAAAAGGGTAATCCCCTCACCTTTTTTGAAATGAAGCGAGTAGGATGCGGGCGACTTGTCAAAAGAATAACTTTTAGGAAAATTACGAAAGGTTTATCATTTCATTCGTTGTATATAAGCCCCCCCCCTACTTGAAAGCGCCAGTAGAAATTTTCTTCAAGGCAGCCTCCCCATTGAAGGTTTTACTGAATAAACCGTGGCAGGCGGCACCAACCGTTTGGTACACAACATACTCTCCCTTCCTCATATGCCCACCAGTTGCTCAGTTTCACTCGTTTCCCCCATTTCCTGGGCTGCTCCGAAAGCGTTTTGTGAATTTTTATCCTCGGCTCCGCTCACTTCGGCGGACGCCCCGCCCACTATGGGTGGAGCTTAGGTTACCCTCCTTATGCTCTGCAAACGTTGGCCCATGCCACATCTATTTCAAGCACAATCCGTTCCCTAATAAGTTTCCTGGAAGTGAATTTCCACGAGTCGCAGCAGGCGGTCGCACAGAACGTGAAGACACACAGGCTGGAATCCACGAGTTCGCAGGCAGGCAGTACGCACATGAAGTGAAGACACAGCAAACAGCTTGCGGTTTGATAGCGTAGGCCTAGACGCTTGGCTGGCTTGCGCCACGTATTTTTCTGGCGCGCATGGTTCAACCTATGGTACTTCTTACTGACAGGACTTCTGTGCTAACCACTAACACTTGGCTTAATTCCCATGCTTCGAAATACGGCCCATTTCATCGTTTTTGCGCCTTTTTAATGAACAATGTCTGGTGCTTATCACATTTCTAACAACACTCGCCATTCGTTGGAAATAGGACAGCTCAGTGGGAAAGAGTTTTCGATGGTAACACTATCAAAATCGTAAGTGAGTGAGTGGCCCTTAAATCCCAAGTATTTCCGCTGAGCAGGCTTCACTCTCCGGTCTGCTGGTGGATCTTATAATCTCCTGCCACGACAACAGATCTCGGGCTTTATTTTGGGGAAACTCAATAGAATTTGCGCTCGAGATCGAATTTTCACCATCCGCAAACAAGGGATTTGCTAAAGGGTTGCTCAACAACTTGACTCACTGCGGCCTTCGGTTCTTGGCAACGGTGGTCAACTTCTTTCACTCGCGCAGAGTAAAGGATGCGATAGATACTGACTCTTAAGCCTTGTCGGACACTATCAGAATTTATCTACCACCACCAAAATTTCCCACCATGCTTCCTAACCACCTGCTGGAAAAAAGAAAAGCAGTTCTTCCAGTGATATACAGGCCCGTGCATATGACTTTGGCCAGGCTTCCTTTCCGATGTGGCCTCTACGGTGTCTTATCGAGCTGTTATCACTTCCTGCCACCCACCAATAATGTTTTCATCTTGCCCCCTATCTTCATCTTGGAACTAATGTCCTGCCATCGCTGTGACGCATGTTATGAAGTTGATGACCCTCCCTTTGTGAAGCCCCTTATGGTATCTTATCAGCTGTTATCAATTCCTGCCACCCACAATAATGTTTCCATCCTGTCCCCTATCTCACTTCTTGGAATCAACGTCCTACCGTCGCTGTGACACTCGTTATGAATTTGGTGACCTTCCCCTTCTGAAGACCCCTCATGTATCTTATCAGCTGTTATCAACTTTCTGCCACGCCACCAATATGTTCCCATCCTGCACCTATCATCTTACCTCTTTGGAACCAACGCCCCATCGCTGCTGTGGCCCGCGCTATGGAGTTGGTGACCCTCCCCTTCTAAGCCCCGGTATGGTATCTTATCAGCTCTTATCACTTCCTGCCACCCACCAATAATGTTTTAGCCGACCCCTAAATTCAGCTTATGACTTTGAGGCGGCTTCAGCGCTATTGTTGAAGAAAGTTATGAATTTCCGGTCAAACCAGCACATACGACAGACACAATTCACACACACACACACACACACACACACACACACACACACACACACACACACACACACACACACACACACACACACCAACAGACAAACTTAGCGGATTATATATAGTAGGACAAGATGTGCCAGTTACGACCGTGTTGAGCCCTAAGATGAAGTGAGTAAGATAGGAATACCTCTTGTGTCGCTGGCGGGCACTTCAGGGGGGGGGTAGGTTTGAAGGCGATGGCAGCCCAGTTTTCCACGTCGACCTTCGCTTCCGCATTCAGAGGAGAACACGAAGGTACAGTTTTAAGCGAAAGCCACCCCGACCCCCCCCCCTGAATGCCGACAGCGGTCGGGCGAACAAGACCGCAAATTTGTAGCCTAACCGTTCTGTATTTGGAGCAAGCAGCATTGATCCTCTCATTGATGTCGATGTCTACACGGACTAGATTATAATTGGATAGAGAGGCATAGCACGCCATTGTTCGCCCATTCGTTCCTCCAGGTCTGAAGAATCCCAATTTTATCCTACCCTGACAGCATTTCTCATTTCTCTGTTCAGAATGAAGTTTCAGAAATGAGCGAACTTACAAGGTTTTCGATGTATACATGATCAAGATCGTCACAGTCCCATAGGCTTTCCGACAGTCACCCATGAATTTCCGACGTGGATAGATCGAAGGTCGGCGCGCTTTAACTGCGACATCCGCTTTGCTCCTGAGATTATGGGGAATATTCTCGCGGAGAATTGTGTTTTTTTTGGCTGCTCAACTTGCATAACAAAACTGTTAAGGAGGATTTCCATTATTTCGGGGTCCGAAATTGGTGAAATCACCAAAGTTGTTGTCAACCTTGAGCGGAGAGCAGTACAAAAAGATAGAACTATTAAATATCATTATGCCAAAGGCGCTGTTCGGCGACGGTGGGGGGGGTGGAAGCAACGAAAGCGTGCCACTTTTCCCCACTCAAAAGAGCACGGGAAAGAGGACGGAAGGTGGTGATATACAGGTGCCCTTCACGGACTCCGCCCACGCTGTGCTCAGGATGGAGCGCTCGATACCGAAATCCCGCAGCCAACTCACACTCAGAAGAAGAACTACCAAAAGGAGATGGCGTAGATAAGTAGCGCGTTTGGCTATGGTGAAGCGTGTGGTTGACCGTGCGGTAGCGCCGGATTCTAGAAGACGCCACCGTTGTCGCTATC